TAGTTATTACATAGAGCGGTATTCGAAGAATACTTCCCGCCGTAGAAATATCGAAATTTATTAAGAGATTCTTTTAACTCGATAGTGGCTAACTAATGATTTTCACGACTACATTTGAATCTTTCGGAAATAAAACCGAGAGGAAGGTATCGTTCGCTTTGCGGTATCTCAAATTTCTACATCAATTTCCACCGCCTTCCCTCTCGCGTCGCGTAGGTATATCGTGAGTCGCGCTATATACGGGCAATTAAAAGCGTACAACAGAGACATTTATGTTAGCATTAACTGCCTGTTAAGACGAGAAACCACCTAACCGTGGAAGGTGTAATTGGTCGACATGCTGAACCTGCAGCTCGTAAAAGCACAGCGGGCGTGCCTCGTATCACAGTTTTTCCGGCGCAACGTTTACAAATCACGTTTCGTTCAATTCATTTTAATTCAAATTACAGTCTCGAATGCGCGGCCACAATCGATAAGTCGAACGGAGAATACACGATGAATTCTTGCTGTACGATATATTCAACGCGTTAAGAAATCGAGTTTGAATAAAAACTTCCCACTTTTGAAGTTATTAAAAAAGATAACTGTTCCTCGTTCGCTAATTACATGGCTCGCCGGAAAATGGAAAAATAATCATAAACAAATTTACAAGTATACACCGGAACCGTCGGTCTGCCGATCTTAACATTCTCATCAAACGCATAATAGACTGCACGGTCAGATAAGCCTGGAAGCAAGAGCGTTTGAACGCTAGAAAAGAAAAATGAGTTGTTATTACTGCAGTTATTAATACAGATCTGCCGGTGGATAGTGTAATTGTGCCACAACGTGGCCAGCAAGTATAATTTTAATTGTGATAAATCGTAATTACGACAGCCTTCGTCCGAGCGCGAGCCAACCGCGACATGCAACAAAGAAAAACTCGAATCTAATACGCCGTGTCGAAATGAAATGTTTCAGTTTGTTCTCGCTATTAAATTATATTCTTTTAAAGTGTGTGAAGAATAAAAAAAAAAAGAAGAAAGAATATCTCTTGATTTTGCGAACGAGTGCGGACGAATGTACGCGCGACTGACCGCACAGTTATGTGCGCGACCTCTGAATATGTTACTCTACATTAGTACAATGTTTATCGCGTTATAAAAAGTTTCTCATTTTACTACGAAAGTATCACACTCGTTTTACGATCGTGTTTACGAGCATAACACTGGGTGTAACAATGTCATTAGCATAGATCTAACATAAGGATAGTGTAATTGCGTTACAATGTAACCGGTCGGCCGATCGCGTAATACAATATACCGAGCGCTCTAAGAAGTAACGCATTGCGTGCGAAAGAGAGGCAGGGCGGAGTTGACTCGGCAGAGCGCGCGCGCGGTTCTTACGTTTTATTATTAGTACGCATGCCGCTCGTTACGCTACCATTCGCTCGTACGAAGATGCACATTCCCGGCGATCCATTTCCCTCTCCCTCTCTCTTTCTTCCTCTATCTTTTTTCCGGCCGCGTCTTCGATTAAAATGCCAAACGTCGGTAGCAGAAAGTAGAAAGAGAGGGAGAGAGAGAAAGAGATTCGCCGTGATACGCGATATTGTTACGCGTGTACACGTTGTAACTGTCCGGATCCGTGACGGAGTCACGCGATATGCATTATGCACGCACGTAACGCCGCGCGGTGCGGCGCGGCAGCAGACGTTTCCGCAATCAGTCCCACGATGCGCCACAGACGACTCTCGCTCGCTTTGTGAGAAACGAGTCATTGACGTACGCCGTTTGCATTTTCGCGTTCGGTACGCGGAAAAAAAGCGGACGTCTATCTTTCGCGCGAGTTCTATGCATTATTAATACATGGCCGGGGAAAAACCGGCGGGTTAAATGGCGCGAGCACAATAACGCGCGCTAATTACACATCGCCGCGTCATTATTTTCGACGGCGCACCAGCAGCGCAATTTAGCGCGCGCATCTTACATAAATGCAATCTCCGCGTATTATCACGAAACTACGTTTTCTCGCGTATCAGAACTGCTGCGACGAGCTGCGCGTTTAGCTCGAACGAGAACGCGTCGTTTCGCGTGTGATATAACAAACGTGTATGCACTATACAGGTTCTCCCACGAGACGTCTGTCAACCGAGAAAAAATTTTATTCGACTTTGAGCTGCGCGCGATGTTTCGTTTCGAAATTTAGAATTTAATACGCGTGAAAACATTGACAAATGTTAAGAATCTATTTTCACATAATTCTCAAGAGTAAAATATGCAGCAGACTCGCTTCTTCCTGGAATATTCTGTAGCGATGAGAAAATGTCTCGGTAATTCGAAGTAGAGTTTTTTCTCGCGCGGCTAATTCAATTTTGCGCACGGCGTCGTCGTTGTTTGCAAATGGTGAAAACTAATTGTGAGACAAATCCGGCGTCTCGCTTTCCCTCTCGCTAGCTCGATGAATTTAACATTTTCTTCTTTTTTCCCCGGTATTGTCCGCGTGTAATGAAGGGACGCGCGTGCAAGAAGAGGAGCCGTATGCGTTGCTCCCGGAGCGACTTTCACCGCGCGTCTCGTCAGCCACCTGTCGACGGCGAGCCGGCAGAACGGGCGATCGTGCGAGCGCGAAAAAATGTCGCGATGTCGCGATCCGCGCGGCGCATCACTTTCCGCGGCGGACCTCCGACGCGCTATGCAGGGGTTCATTTACGACAGCTGCATTACCCCTATGCGACGCGCTATTACTTTTATTAGCATAATGACAGGCGAACAACTCAATTTGCATGGAAAATCACACAGGCCCCGTAACGAAGTTCGCCCGCGGATCCGCGTTGATCGGTTTTATCGGCGTATATGTATGTATATATGTATATCGCATATTGTGTGTAATATATAAATATTGTAGAAAGGGCGCGGTGGGAACGGAGAGGAGAGGTCTACTAGTCCGAGTCCGCGTGGCGAATACCTTCTCCAGAATACCGTTCTCTCTTTCTCTCTTTCTCTGCGCGCTGGATAATTCCGTATCATCATCGAAATTGCCGTCGATCGTCGTCGTCCTTCTCGTCCGTGGCTTGATTGAGAGTAGTCGAGGATCGTTTGCCACCGCACCTGATCCAATCGTCCATTCGATAATTGGCGCCGGTAATGAGACGCAGGATTACCTGCTCGGGTAGTTCGGGCAAATTTTTGCGGTAAAAAAAAAAGACGTGCCGTTCCTTTTAAAGAAAAGTAATAAGTCCGAAATTCATTTTGCAAACG